GAAGTGATCCCCCAAGGCTGACAAGAGTTAAGGCACGAGATGTAAACAACCCAGCCAATGGGCCTGGCCAGCACCGCCCAGCGCCCAGCACTGCACAGCGCCCCTCCTCAGGGATGGGGGAGGGTGTGTGAGGATTAACCTCTGCTATACCAGAGGACAGCCTAGCAGGGTGTGCCAGTCCCCTGTGACTCCCTGGAAGCTGGGCCTGCCCTGACCTGTGCTGGCTGATGCCACAGCCTGTACCCTCCGGAGGCCTGCTGTGGCCCGTGCCCAAGTATGCAGCAAACTCCCTTTGCCCCTGCCTCACCTGTAGGATAGTCAACGCCCCAGGCCTCTGGAGGAGCACTAGCTTGCAGGACTTGGGGGAAGGATGAGCCAGGCTCCCTCAACCCTCAGACAGCAAAGGTGAGGGAGAGATCCAGGGGCCAGATGGCAGGAGGGAGTGAGAATCCATGTCCAGGAGCTCCCAGATACATTCCTCCCCTGTGAGTCTTCCAAGAGAGGAAGCAGGTGCAAACACACCCACCATCTCCACCCCCTAGCCCAAAGAGAAAAATGAAGGCTCAGTTAAGAACTGGACTTCCCTGGAGTCAAGAGAGCCACGAGGCCTGGAAAGGAAGTGCCCTGTCTCTCTCCTCCTCCATCTCCCGGGGGCAGGCTTTGAGCAAAGCAGGAACCACAGCGACTCTGAGGTCGGAACCGCAGAAGAGAGGACTCTTGTGTCTGCGGCTGGGTGTGTGTTGGGGGGACAAGTGCCAGCCAGGCCAAGGGGAGGAGGGCTGTCCTGGAGCTGGTGCAGGGCCATGCAGCCTGAGGCCTGGGCCACCCTGGCTTTCCATCCTATTGGGCCTGGAGAATGTGAAACTGCATTGGGTCAAAGAGCTTAGCTGGCTGCTTTGTCTTGATGAATGAGAGGTGCAAGGCATTCCCCTAGGCCTATGCGAGAGTTAGGCCTCTGCTTGAGTCCTGCAGAGGTGGGGGCCGGCCAGCCAGCCAGCTCTGCAGCAGGCCTGGATCCTAGCCTCTGGGCCTGCTCCTCCCTCTCTCTGCCTGCCACCCTTCCAGGGCCCAGAAGCAAAAAAATAAAAAATAAAAAAATAAAAAGGGGTGGGTGGGTGGGTGGGTTCTGGCAATGGGAGAGCTCATGACCCAATTAACACAGAGCCAGGGCTGCCGCCCCTCCCCTAGGGGGCCTTGTGGGCCAGGCCAGGGAAAAAAGGCAGGGCAGTGAAGTTGGCAGTGGGCAGCCCACAGATGCCCAGGCTCCTTTTGTTAGCAGCTCTCCCTTGTCAGGCTCAGAGGAGTGCTCCAGGCCAGGGAAGCAGTGACTCCTTCCGGGAGCAGCAGGCTGAGTGCTGGGCCGCAGGGCAGATTTTGTCTCCCAGGCCACACTTTCTCCAGGCCGGTCCCCAGGGCCACAGACAGACCACGTTCTTCTTTTTCCGCGAGGTTTCCAAGGGGGATGGGCCCAGGGCAGAGGAAGCCAAATCCAGAACCCATCCCCCTTCCTGGGTCCTTCCTGGCTCCTCCCGACCGCACCCAGGCCCTTGCCCGGCTGAGTGGGCTGGGATGGCCCAAAATAAGAAGCTGATCAAATCCGTCTCCCACCTTCACCCCAAAATAAAAGACAGAGGAAAAAAACCTCCTGAGACAACTCCCACGCGGCTTCCTCCCGGGCCCCGTGGGCCATGGTCAGGGAAGGGTGGGGGCAGCGGCGCCGCAGGCCATTGAGAGCAGTGAGGGCACTCTGGGCTGGACCTCTCCCCACTCCCGTGAGACGCTCCAAGCCCCTTGCCACTAATGCAGAAAAACCATTTACAACAAAAAGGGGCCGAGGGCGCCGACGCGGGTGGGCACAGGGCGGCTGAGCCCCCCAACTCTGATTACAAGGGGAGCTTTGTGTGCGCAGAGGCGGCCCGCGCTGGGACCCTCGACGCCGGCGCTCCGGACCGGACACGGTCGTCTCGGTGAGGCGGGGGCTGGGCGCCCTGGCAGCCCACCCGGACTCGGACCCCACCTGGCCGCGGAGGGGTCGGCTGGGGCCCGGGGTGGCGCGAGCGGCGCGCTGGCCCCGGCTCGCGGCGAGCGTGAGAGCGCCAGAGAGCTGGGAAGAGGCAGGAACCACAAAACTCGCACGGGACCAGGAGCCGGGCCGCGCGGTCCTGGAGCGAAGTCCAGATGCTTAGCAGGCTCGCCCACTGGTTCTGGAACTGAGCGCAGAGCCCAGGGGTCCTGGGGCGGGGAGGGCGGCTGCCCGCTGCACGGTTCTTGCAAGGAAAGGAAGGAACGCGAAAGAAACTCGGCGGCCGCGGCGGCGGGTGCGGGGGGATGGGGTGGCTGGAGGCAGGCAAAAGTTGAGCCGACTTGGAAGTTTGGAGATGAGGAGGGAAAGAAAAGGAGGAGAATCCTGCAGGCCTGAGCAGCGGAGATCCCGAGATCCCCTCGTGTCGGAATGGGGTTGTCCCCCGGGGGACCCCCGGGCTCGCCTCCCCGGCGGGCCGGAGGAGCTCACTTACTTCGGGGCTGAAGCTGTTGCTTTGGGCCGAGCCGAGGGAGGCGAGCGCGGTGCCGAGCGTGAGCAGGGGGAGCAGGAGCCTGCGGGAGGGTCGTGGGGCGGGAGACATGGTCCGCGACCGTCGGGGCAGCCGGGCTGGGCGGGCTCCGCGGCGGGGCCCTCGCCTAGGGGTCGCGCCGCCACTCCCTCGGGGGCGCCTTTGTCTTCCGGAGGCACCGACTTTGGATTCCTAGAGCGCTGAGGGCCAGGAGGCGAGAGGACTGTTCTTGAAGTGCCTGTTTGCGCTCCTCTTTCCCGTTTTTTGGTCTTTCTTCTGCTTAGTCGGCGAACTGGGTCGGGAGCCCTCTCGTCTCTCTTCTCTGGTCCCTCCCTTCTCCCGCGGCCGCTCCTCCGCCCCCGCCCCAATGCCCTCCTTTCCTGGTGGGGACGTGGTTGTTTCAGCCTGAATCCAATTACAGTCAAGAGCTGGAGGAAAAAAAAAAAATCCAAAGTTGCCTTTCTGTGGTGCAGGCTGCCATCTGCAGGGGCTGAGGCCACAGGGGACAGCAGGGGGCTGTAGGGGGACCCTGGGGAGGGATGTGGGAGACTTTCTTGCCCTAAGCATAATTTGGGTGGCTTGATTGCTCTGGTGTCTCAGCATGTGTTTCCACACCGAGTGGGAAGCACTGGAAGCCTGTGGCTAGGGCCGACAAGGAGTTCAAGGGCTGGGATGGCGGCCAGGGTGGGCCTGCCTTGCCGGTGAGACCTCGACTGGGAGAAGGGGCCAGTTTACTAGCAGTTATGGGAATCAACGGCTGGAACCTGTGAACAACCACCTCTGTCCCTCCCCTCTCCTGCCAAAAGCCCCAAACCGTGACAAAGCCCAAACACGCAACACACCCGGCAACCACATCGGCTCTGGGGTCATCCTTGCAGAAGGACCAATGGGCTCGCTTTATCATTGTCCCTTGCAATTGGGCTGCTTCATAATTAGAACTGGCTGGGGCAGAAAGGGGTGCCAGGCCATGACACCTGGGAAAAAGCAAATTGATTTTGGTGAAACTACTAGGAAGCAAGGAGGCCTAGGAGTCAGGACCTTGGTGTTTTGTTCTGCCTCCGCACTGGAAAAGGAGGCTATTCCACCTAGACTGAGATCTCCTGGACTCTGGGAATAAAAGGTGGAGGTATGCAGAGAAGGGGGAGGGCAGGCCAGAGCTGTGGCTGAGAAAGGGAGGCAGATAAGAGGGTAAGAACCAGATCTGGACATGCAGCACAACAGAAGCAGGAAAAGTGTGGGAGACAGAAAACTCGACCATCAGCGAAATCTAAGACCCGAGAATTGAGTTTGGTCAGCCAGAGGAAGGAGGTAGTGGGGGAGGAAGGGAGGGAAAGCAAGCAAAGGCCTGACAGAGGGTGGGCAGAAATTGTGTCAGGTGGGAAAGCTCCAGCACCTTCCATGTTTGTGGCAGAGCGGAGGGGCAGTGCTCTGTGTTGGGAACAAGGCTACTTTGCCCCCTGAATTCATGGGAGGAGCCCTGATGAGTAAAAGGAAAGGCATCCCAGGTGCTGGGTGGCTTCCGGGTTTGTGAGAGGGAGGTGTATAGGGGGTTGAGACCCTTGGGTAGGGCTCATCTACACCCGGTAGGGAGATGCAAGGTTCTCTTCAACCAACCTCTGGAATTGAACCAGAACCACGGCCACTCAGAACTTAACTCAGCAGAACATACATCTAATTCTTGTTCTTCTCATTGGTCTTGGAGTATCCTCCTGGACCAAGTATCTGAACTTCAGGAAAAGCAAGCAGGCTCATGGGTTGGTGCTGTGGCACAGTGGTGAAAGCCTACAGTGCCAGCATCTCCTAGGGATACTGCTTTGAGTCTCAGATGCTCTACTTCCAACCCAACTTCCTGCTAACATGCTTGGGAAAGTAGAGGAAGATGGCTCAAGTGCTTGGGCTTCTGCACTCACGTGGGAGACTGGGAAGAAGCTCTTGGTTCCTGATCAACCCAGCTCCAGCCATTGTGGCCATTTGGGGAATGAACCAGCGGATGGAAGCTCTCTTTCCCTCTCTCTCTGTAACTTCGCCTTTGAAATAAAACAAACTTCAAAAAAAGCAAGCTCAGTTTGAAAGCCTTTTTCATCAAGAATATTTATTAAGTCCCAACTGCACACACGTGGCAGAGCTGTGTATGGGCGGGCTGTGAAAGGCCTGAGTGCCTGGTGGAAGCCACTCTTCAGTTTTTATGTCCACAGAGCAGCTCCTGCTCAGTTGGGCTAGCCCTATGGCTGGCAAAGGAGAGTGTAAAAATCCCAGGGCAAGATTCCACTAAACTGGAATGGAGCCAGGGGTCAGGGCACTGAGCCAGGAATCCGGGGCAGTGATGGTACAGCCTATTCTTCCTGGTGTCTGAGCTCTTTGGCTCTGACGTTAGATGAGGGACAGTGAGGCTGTCTTCTGGCTGAGATGAGGCATCTAGGGGACACAAAAGCAAGCCAGACGCTGAGGAAGAGGGCAGGGTTTGCTTTTATTGACATGGAAGCAGGCTGTTCAGTGAAGCTCCTTTGGGTTTAAGAGTGTTTTTCTGCTTCCTTTCTTCTTCTTGCAACTTCTGCTGCCGGAGCTGCCATGCCTGTAATCCAGCATCCATTTCCTGTGACAGCAGCACAACACGTCTCTGAAACAGGAAAACAGTGTGGGCAACATCTGGGACGTGTGCGCTGAGGCTCTACCCTTTCACTCACAAATCCCAGGTCCTAGCTGGAAAATGACTGCTCACTGGGGATGGGTGGGACCGAGCCTTGGGCTGGGAAGCAAAAAAGAGGCAGAATGTCTACTGCTGGTCCTGCCTTAGGAGGGCGCCACTGTCCTCTCTTCTCACAGTGTCATTAAAACCCGTGGCTGTTAATACCTCAGTATCTTAGGTGCACCACAGTTCAAGACAAATTATGAACTGTTTTCCCCCTCTGGGAGCAGCTGTTCAGACTAGTAGTTAAGAAGCTTGAACCCCACATCACAGGACCTGGGTTTCAGCGCCTTACTCCAGCTTTCTGCCCAGGCAAACCCTAGGCAGTAGCAGTGATGGCTCAAGTTCACTGGGTTCCTACCACCAATATGGGAGACCTGGACTCCAGTCCTGGCTCCTGGCGTTGATGTGGCCTAGTCCCACCTGTTGTGGGCATTTGGGGGGTGAATCAGAGGTGGGAGTTATCAATATCCCGAATAAAAAAAATAAAAACTCTCCTCCCACCCCCTCTGATGACAAACAGGTAGCTCTGGCTGGGGCTCTAGACACTCACTGCAAACTTCTCCCTTTCAGCTTTTCTTCGAAGCTGGCCTTTCATTGGGGGAGCCGGGCGGCCATCTAGACAGAAGTGAGAGAAAAGCAGGTGTTTGGGATGGCCTGTAGCACTGTGTGCGAAGAAGAATCAACTTTCAGCTTCTCTCTTCCGTTTCAAACTTGCTGTGGCTGAACTCTCCTAAATCATGTCCCTCATCTTCAAGGGTGAGGGATGGCAGACCCACCAAAAATAAGTTTGCAGGCACGTTCCTTCTCCGTTTCACTTACTGCTCATTAGCCTGCATTCCGGGTCCTCTGCAGTGCCAAGTCCACTGGTTTATTTTCATATTCAGAAACCCCACCCTCAAGCAGTGTGATCATTGTTCTACTCTGAGTCCCCTGCTAAATTCCAGCTCACTCGGCAATGAAATTGCCCTTTTTCATTTCCCTCCCAGCCCAATCCTTACCCTCAGCTCCACTGGAACCCTAACTTTCCCAGATACCCTTTTGTAACCTCTTCAACTCCATCAGTTCTCTCCTCTGAAAGAAGCATATATCATTTAACAGTCAACTGTTTGTCCTGGGACATTTACCATACTATTGTTTTTTAGCGTCACTGAGCTATCTTAGATCCTTCTGGAAAAGAACAGAGTACTGAAATATTATTCAATTCCTAAAATGTCCACACTTTGTTTTCCCAGCCAGACTAAATTCTTTGGGATCAGGGACTGTATCACCAGCTTTTGCTATTCATAGTATGTAGGCACATAAGCATGTAATACAAATTCCATAAAGTATCTGCTGACTTCCTGGAAAGATGCACTATCTGACCTCAACCACTTTACAACAGAGATGAGGAGAAACAACACTTACTTTCTCCAGTAAAGAAACAATAAAAATTCTGCCCAAAGGTTTTTTTTTTTTAAGGCAGGGCAGAAAAGAAGTAATGTGTTTTGGGAAAAGAAACTAATATTGTGTATGCCAAGTGTTCTACATGGGCTATTTCAGGCTGTCCTTATAGGAATCACGAGATAGGTATATTTTACAAATAACTGAGAATTAGGTGAAAGTAAGTAACTTATCCAAGGCCACAAAGTTAGCAAGTAGGGAAGCAACAAGTAAGAATCAGGTATAAAGGCAGGTGTTGAAGTTCGGTGTGTGAAGATGGTTGTTTGGGATGCCTATATCTTTTTTTTTTTTTTTTTTTTTTTTTTTGACAGAGTGGACAGTGAGAGAGACAGGGAGAAAGGTCTTCCTTTGCCGTTGGTTCACCCTCCAATGGCCGCTGCAGCCTGCGCACCGCGCTGATCCGAAGGCAGGAGCCAGGTGCTTATCCTGGTCTCCCATTTGGGTGCAGGGCCCAAGCACTTGGGCCATCCTCCACTGCACTTCCGGGCCACAGTAGAGAGCTGGCTTGGAAGAGGGGCAACCGGGACAGAATTCGGTGCCCTGACCGGGACCAGAACCCGGTGTGCTGGCGCCGCAGGTGGAGGATTAGCCTATTGAGTGGCGGTGCCAGCCTTTTTCTTTTCTTTTCTTTTTTGCCTATATAGCTTATCAAGGTGCCTAGCTCGAGACTTAACTACTCTACTTCTGATCCAGCTTTCTACTAATATACCTGGGAGGCAGACAACAGCCTAAGTACTTGGGTACTTGTCACCCATGTGGAGAACCAGACTGAGTTCCAGGTTCTTGGCTTCAGCCTGGCCCAGCTCTGCTTGTTCCCAGCATTTGGGAAGTGAACTAGTGGATGGAAGATCTCTTTCTGCCTTTCAAATTAAAAACAAAAAAACAAAAAAACAACAAAAAACAAAACAAAAAAAAAAAAACAAAAAACAAACAGGTGTATATCATTCTAGACTTCTTCATATTCTATACTACAAGATCTTTGTCATCCTAAAGTACATAACAGGTGGGGAAAAAAAAAATCAGTCTTCCTCAGTTACCAAGTATCTGGTAAAGCGCCATCATGCTTCTAGAGACTCCAGGAGGTAACAATACCCAGGCTTTTGTGCTGTCACGGAGGCCCAGCCCCACCCAGTTCTAGTCCTAGTTTTGCTACACCTAGCTGTATCAGGTACATCAACAAGTTTGTAGGAAAATAGATTAAAAGGTATTTATTTGTAGGGGAAAGAAAATTGAAATCTAGGCAGTTTGTCCATGGTACATATTTTACAAGAACATTTTGAAGACCCTATGTACTTCACATTTTTTGTGCCAAAATAAACATCCTTTAAGTCCATTTTTTCATGAAATTTTTAAAGTCCCCTTGCATGACCACGAGCAATTCACCTCTGTAAGCCTCAATTTTCTTGCCTGTAAACACGGGCAGTGGGGAGTGGTTTCATCTTCCCTGAGGTCAATTATAGATCCTCTCTCTCTCAAGTAAAGAGGAAAAAGACTTTGCTGAAGGGAGCCTGCTATCCTCCATCTTCACCCTTGCCCTCTGAGAGGCTCATTTCCGCAGCCTCAGGCACCAAATTCTCAAACCCTACTCACCGCACAGAAGGGCAGTTCTTCCTAACTTTTTATTTCCTCTTCCTAACTGGATAAAAATCGTGTCCCCCTTGGAGGAACGGAGCCCTCTGCAACCCCAGGGCGCCCCTAGTCGGAATTATCTTCCGTAGTTTAACGTGCCAAATAAAGCAAGCGGTGCCTTTCCCCAAACCCCGTTTTCCAGAGACTGAGTTCCGAGCGCTGTGCACCGGACACGCCCCCGGCGCCCCGCCCCGCCCCGCCCCGGGCGTTCCCACCGCGCCGAAACCGCCCGAGGACAGTGCTCCAGCCCGCGCTCACCGGCGAAAGACCAGTCTGGGAGCTCCGTGAGCGGCCCGTAGTCAGAGGGGTTCGCAGCCCGGCCCTGCCTGCGTGGAGAAAAACAGTTCGGTGAGGACTCAGCCAGGTTTCTTGCTCCCTCGTTCCCCCCCGACCCCAGCACTCACTGAAGTCGCCACTGGCCGCCCGCCCGAGCCAACGCGCTGCAATGCAGCCTCCGAACACCTACAGGAAAAACAGGACAGAGTTGGCTGAGGGGCGCGCGCGACCCAGGAGACCCAGCTCCGCCCCGCCCATGAGCGCCCCAGTCCACTAATCCGACAGTCACTCACTCTGAAGGAGAGTCCCTAAAGCGGCCATGCTGCGACGCAGGAGCCGGAAGTGGGCGTGGCCTCGGCGCCCGTGCGCAGTTCTGCGGGGAAGCCGGAAGCCGCCATCTTGAATCTGGTTTCAATCACGGGCTCCGCCATCTTGGGTTGTACGGAAGTGGAGCGAAGGTGCGACCGAAGCCTTGGTCCAGAACGAACTGTTGTCAAAGGCATCTTCAGTGGTGGCAGTCTGCTGTAAGACTGAGCCGTCCTGAACTGTTGCCCCAAGACCCACGGTGGTCTCTAGTTCTTTGAAATCTATAGCAACTTAAGAGTAGCAGCATCCACATTATTTCTTTTTTCTTTTTTTTTTTTGACAGGCAGAGTGGACAGTGGGAGAGAGAGACAGAGAGAAAGGTCTTCCTTTGCCATTGGTTCATCTTCCAATGGCTGCCGCAGCCAGCACGCTGTGGCCGGCGCACTGCGCTGATCTGATGGCAGGAGCCAGGTGCTTCTCCTGGTCTCCCATGGGGTGCAGGGCCCAAGCACTTGGGCCATCCTCCACTGCACTCCCTGGCCACAACAGAGAGCTGGCCTGGAAGAGGGGCAACCGGGACAGAATCCGACTCCCCGACCAGGAGTAGAACCCAGTGTGCCGGCGCTGCAGGTGGAGGATTAGCCTAGTGAGCTGCGGCACCCGCCAGCATCCACATTATTTCATTCCAATCTCCTGCATCACTGTTAGCAGAGTTTTCCTGGATCAAGACATGTGGTGAAACCTGGAGTGAATCAGAACATTTGGCTTCAGCCCTCATTCCTGTGTGTAAGGAAAGGCTGTAGGGAAGGAGACAGAACATAAACTCAGAGCCAGACCAGGTTTATTCAGAGAAAAAGCCTGGGAGGGGCTCACTCCTCGTGAATACGCAGCCGAGAGCGCACCCTCCCACACAGCCTAGTGGCTTATATAGTGTAAGGTAGGTGGGAAGGCTTGTTAGGGTGGTGTCTGGACTAAGGCTGAGCTGCTGAGATAGTGGGGAAACCTTGGGCTAGGGACTGGGTGTGATTTGGAAGGGTTTGGGCTGGGTCCGTATCTAGGGTTTGGACTGAGGCTGAGCTGATGGGATAGTGGGGAGAGAGCTTGGGAGTGCTGTGGCTTGGATGGGGCAAGCTTTGAGTGAACTCTTAGGATATTGGGGATTGCGGTGCCAGCACACCGGGTTCTAGTCCCAGTTGGGGCGCTGGATTCTGTCCCGGTTGCCCCTCTTCCAGGCCAGCTCTCTGCTGTGGCCAGGGAGTGCAGTGGAGGATGGCCCAAGTACTTGGGTCCTGCACCCCATGGGAGACCAGGATAAGTACCTGGCTCCTGCCATTGGATCAACACGGTGCGCAGGCCGCAGCGCACTGGCTGTGGCGGCCATTGGAGGGTGAACAAATGGCAAAGAAAGACCTTTCTCTCTGTCTCTCTCTCTCACTGTCCACTCTGCCTGTCAAAAAATTAAAAAAAAAAAAAAAAAAAAAAGGATAGTGTGGAGAGGCTGCTCAGGCTGATGGCTGGATTCAAATTTTTTTTTTAAAGGTTTCTGGCCATAGTGAAATTAGGCATGAGAGCTGGATCAGAAGAGCAGCTGGGACATGAGCCAGCGCTCATATGGGATGCTGGCACCGCTGGCAGATGCTTAGCCTACTAGGCCACAGTGCCAGCCTCTCCCTGTTGTTTTTTTTTTTTGACAGGCAGAGTGGACAGTGAGAGAGAGAGACAGAGAGAAAGGTCTTCCTTTGCCGTTGGTTCACCCTCCAATGGCCACCGCGGCCGGCACGTTGCGGCCGGCGCACCGCGCTGATCCGATGGCAGGAGCCAGGTACTTATCCTGGTCTCCCATGGGGTGCAGGGCCCAAGTAGTTGGGCCATCCTCCACTGCACTCCCTGGCCACAGCAGAGAGCTGGCCTGGCAGAGGGGCAACTGGGACAGAATCTGGCGCCCCGACTGGGACTAGAACCCGGTGTGCCGGCGCCACAAGGCGGAGGATTAGCCTAGTGAGCCACGGCGCTGGCCATCCCTGATGGTTTTGAAGGACCACTGCTGCCCAGGAAGTGGGCAACCAACCTGGTCTTGAAGATGAGAGAATTGTGCTAGGTCATCTAGGTTTTCCTTGAGCAAACAAGATATGTCTTCAATTGTGTTTGCCTTGCCTGCTGAGATTGTTAGTCTGACCACTCCTTTCCCAACTCCTGCCAGGATACCTACTGCAATTAACAGGAGGGTAAATCCAAAATCCTTCATCACATATCTGGTCAGGGGGACAGGGCATAAAGTCTGGTCTAGAGCATAGGACAAAGGGGAAGATAAGAATACGAGTATAGTGGGCCGGCGATGTGGCTCACTGGTTAATCCTCCACCTGCGGCGCTGGCATCCCATATGGGTGCTGGGTTCTAGTCCCGGTTGCTCCTCTTCCAGTCCAGCTCTCTGCTGTGGCCCGGGAGGGCAGTGGAGGATGGCCCAAGTGCTTGGACCCGTGCACCCACGTGGGAAATGGGGGAGCACCTGGCTCCTAGCTTCGGATCAAAGCTCCGGCCATTGCGGCCATTTGGGGAGTGAACCAACAGAAGGAAGACTTTTCTCTCTGTCTCTCTCACTGTCTGTAACTCTATCTGTCAAAAAAAAAAAAAATATATATACAAGTATACATGTCCCTGTCCAATTAGTAGGAAGAAAGATATATGCTTGGTTGCTGCAGAGAATGAATGCTCCTGTTTCTGGTCCCATCCATGCTACTAAATAGAAGTAGGTAGGTTCTGTGCTTATTGATGTTTGGTACATTCTGTGGGTATCTACCTTCCAGTCCAATTCTGCCAGCCTCAACCTGTGGCTGAGAGTGGAGCTACTTTGGGTTGGGAGAGTGACGGTCTGGTTACAAGTTTTTTTTTTTTTTTTCTTTTAAGATTTTATTTATTTTATTTGAGAGGTAGAGTTGCAGACAGTGTGAGAGGGAGAGACAGAGAGAAAGGTCTTCCTTCCATTGATTCACTCCCCAAGTGGCTGCAACAGCTGGAGCTGTGCAGATCTGAAGCTAGGAGCCAGGCGCTTCTTCCTGGTCTCCACGTGGGTGCAGGGGCCAAGTACTTGGGCCATCTTCTACTGCTTTCCCAGGCCATAGCAGAGAGCTGGATTGCAAGAGGAGCGTCCGGGACTAGAACTGGTGCCCATATGGGATGCTGGTGCTGCAGGCAGAGGATAACCTATGGTGCCATGGCGCCAGCCCCTGGTTGCAGGCTTTGTGGGGGAAATGAACCCACTTTCTGGAGAGAGGGGAAGGAAAGAGCTTTACCCAGTCTTAAGTGGACCTGTGTGGAGGGTTTGGTTAGAACCTGTTTTAAGAATCTGTTCATCTGTTCTTTTCCTGAAGGAGCGGGGGAGTGATGGGGAATGTGAAAATGCCATGAGATATGAAGAGAGGCTGATACTAGCTGAGTAATTTGGGAGGTAAATTCTTGTCTGTTATCTGATTGAATGGAAGCAGAAAGTAGAAATCTGGGGACAGTATCCTTTAGCGGTATAGTAGAGCAGGGAAGCTCTTTCATTAGTGGTGGGGAAGGCCTCCACCCAACCAGAGAAGGTGTCCACCATCACCAGAAGGTAACGTATCCACTTAACTGGTGGCATATGGGTGAAGTCACTCTGCTAGTCCTTTTCTGGATGTGACCCGTGGGCCTGGTGAGTAGGGAATAGGGGTGGTCTAATGTTAGAATTGGGGTTATTTGTTTGGCATATGCTACATGTCTGAGATATGTTGCGCAGTTTCTTGTATGGCAGGAGTTAGGTGTATATGTGATTTTAGAAAATGAAGAACAGAGTTTAGGTTTGAGTAATATATAATTTAAAAAAAAATTATTTATTTTATTTGAAAGTCAGAGTTACACAGAGAGAGATGGAGAGGCAGAGAGAGAGAGGTCTTCCGTACACTGGTTCACTCCCCAAATGGCCTCAACAGCCAGAGCTGGGTCAATCTGAAGCCAGGAGCCAGGAGCATCTTGCGGGTCTCCCATGCAGGTGGGCCATCTTCCTCTGCTTTCCCAGGCCATAGCAGAGAGCTTGATCGGAAGTGGAGTAGCCAGGACTTGAACCGATGCCTATATGGGATGCCAGCACTACAGGCAGCAGCTTTGCTTGCTACGCCACAGTGCTGGCCCCAGAGTGGAGGTTTTTTAGAAAGGTATCTTGGAGGGAAGAGGGGAGTATTAGCTTATTATCTAGAAACCACCGAGTCTTCCTTAGAGGTCCTTTGTTGTTGGAATTGAGAGGTTTCTAAGTCTGAGTAGACAGGAGCTAGGTTAAAGAGAAAAGATGAGGTCAGCTGGCGCTGTGGCTTAATAGGCTAGTCCTCCGCCTGCAGCGCCGGCACACCGGGCAGGATGCCGGATTCTGTCCCGGTTGCCCCTCTTCCAGGCCAGCTCTCTGTTGTGGCCCAGGAGTGCAGTGGAGGATGGCCCAAGTCCTTGGGCCCTGCACCCAAATGGGAGACCAGGATAAGCACCTGGCTCCTGCCTTCGGATCAGCGTGGTGCGCAGGCTGCAGCGGCCATTGGAGGGTGAACCAACGGTAAAGGAAGACCTTTCTCTCTGTCTCTCTCTCTCACTGTCCACTCTGCCTGTCAAAAAAAAAAAAAAAAAAAAAAAAAAGAGAGAGAGAGAGACTTTTTTTTTTTAATGTTTATTTGAAAGGCAGAGATCTAGAGAGAGACAGACTGACACTGTGTCAACCAGTTTGAGTTCTGGCTGTACCACTTCTGCTGCAGCTCCCTAATGTGCCTGGGAAAGCAGCAGAAGATGGGCCAAGTCCTTGGGCCCCTGCTACCCCTGCTACCTGGAAGAAACTCCTGGCTTCGGCCTGGCCCAGCCTCAGCCATTGAGGCCATTTGGAGAGTGAACCAGTGGATGAAGGATACCTCTCTCCGTCATTTCAAATGAATAAATAAATCCTTAAAAAAAAAAAAAATAGAGGGAGAGATAGATATCCTCCATCCTCTGGTTCACTCCCCAAATGGTCTCAGAGACCGGAGCTGAGCCAGGCCAAAGCCAGGAGTCAGGTGCTTCTTCTCGGTCTCCCATCTGGGTGCAGGGGCCCAAGGACTTGGGCCATCTGCTGCTGCTTTCCCAGGTGCGTTAGCAGGGAGCTGAACGGGAAGTAGAACAGCAGGGACTCTAACCAGCACCCCTGTGGGATGCCAGCT